GCTTGTGTGATACTCATCTTGTGTTGGTTGTGCGGCACCCTATTGAAGGTTTGGCGTGTGAATCCAATTAGCGCGTGAACCTCCAAGTGAGTGAATCGCCACAACGAGGACTAGCTTACCGGCAAGCAAGTGAACCTCGGTAAAAAATCATTGTGGTCATCATTGATTCCGAGGTGATTGGTCTTCATTGTTATCCACACTTGTGATTGATTGGTTCATACATCTACACGGCGGTATAACCTTCTTGCCTACTCTTTACATTATCGTAAACTAGTTGTGAAGCTCTTTAGTGTAACTAGTTGTGAGAGCTTGTTAGTTTGGTTAGTGTGGCTCTTTAGTTAGCTTTTGAGAGCACACTAACTTAGTGTAGTGATATAGCTACTGTGTGGATATACTCCATTTAAACTAGAATTGTGGTAGGTGGCTTGCATTTTGGTAGGCTAGCGCAAAACTCGCTTCGCCTCATAATTGTCTAATCATTTTGTTAAGTGTTGTTGTAGAAATTTTATTAGGCTATTCACCCCACTCTAGCCATTAGGACCTTTTAAGTGCGCTGAGCCAGTCGGCGATGAAGTCCAGGCTTCTGAAGAGGAAGGCCTAGGACGGCTGGAAGACGGGTAGAATCCGCATCCCAACAGGTGGGAGTGCGAGAAACTCTAGTGAGCCGAGGTGAGTCGTATCGCTTGGGCCCGCCATGGCGAGGGTGGCGGAAAAGTGGGCCATCCGATGACCAAAAAGTGTTGAACGTATAGCGTCTTCCCCACGAACGGCGCCAACTATCGGTGCAGAAAGTGACTAACACATAAATATTTGTAGTTTTGATGTACGTTGTGATCGGAGGTGGCCTTGCACTTAATGACACAGGGTTTATACTGGTTCAGGCAACGTGCCCTATGTCCAGTTTGAGTCGGTCGATGACTTTATTCCTGAGCCCAGGTGCTCGAAGTTTGCTATGGGGTTACAAACGGAAGGGAGAAAGGTAAGGGGTACAAGAGGTCCGGTCAGGCTCTGGTCAGAGGGGCCGAGAGTGACAGGAGCTCTGCTATGTGCTAAGTGTTCGAGCGTGTGCTTGTGGTTTGAACTTGGCGGTTCTGTTGTTGTGAACTAGTAAAACTGATCGATCTGAATGAACTGTCTTTTGGGAGAGAGCGCATCCCCTTTTATAGATGAAGGGGATGGCCTTACAAGTGAGAGGGAGAGAGTATGTATGCTGCTAAGTCTTGCTGCCTACGTCAGCGGGTACAAGATGATGGTAGACGCCCATAATACTGTTTAATGTCAGATGGACGTGGGAGGTTGCGTCGTCTTCTTCAGGTATGGCAGATGTTGGTGTCTGCCACACTGTTGATACCCAGAGGCATGTAAGGGGTTTTACCATGTTCGTCTGGTACGGTAAATGTCGGCGCTCACAACACTGTCGATGCCTCAGAGGCACATCGGGGAGCCTTACAGTATTTGTCTGGTATGGGAGTTGATGGCGCCCACAACACTGTAGGGGAAAATATTGGCACCTACAACACTATTTGGGTTTTGTCATGTCAGGGAGGTCGTAGGGTACTGTCCTGCATATGTATATGGTACGGTCCTCGGTATTGCGGTTGACTTGAGTGCGCTGTCTTACTTTCTCTGTCTGTTTCCTGGTCCTTACCGAGCGGACGTCCCCAGTCGGTTGGTCCTAGTCGGCTCTGATTGCGCTAGTCGGAGAGGAGCTGTAAGCAGGGGTTCAGAGCATTTTCGGTTGGAGAAGCGGGTCGGAGTCGGAAGTGGTGTTTGGACAGGCCTTCCGGTCGGAGGTCGTCCGGAGGCGGGCTGGAGACTGAAGCGAGCGCTCCAGTTGGAGAGGTGGGCCAAAGTCAGAAGCGGGCGCCGTTCCTCTTCGGCCAGACCTTCCGGCTGAAGATTGGATCGTCCTTCTGGCCTGTCGTCTAGGTATTTGGGTTGGCCCATGAGTTGCGCGTTGCTCGCGACGTTGTCTATTGGACCGAGCCTTTGTTGGGAAGCCGATTCATGAGGGACCCCGGGTTTATGAACCCGACAGGTTGTGTCCTGCGGTCAACGGGGCATAGCTTGGTTACACTGTTTCCCTATCTGAATTGATTAAGGACCGGTCGTTGTATTGGACTCTAGGCAAGTCACAGACTTATTATTCCGAACACATACTTGTGTATGGGCATAGGAAATGCTTGTTGCTCTCTTGTCATGGGTTCTGGATCTTTCTGGACCGACTTTCAGGATGGTTTTTGGGTGGAGGTCCAAGCATCGCTCTGAGTTCGGGACTCAGGAGCAGGAGCTTGGAGTCCAAGTTTAGACGGGGACCTAGACCCCGTGACAGGGGAGTGGGAGGTTGGCTCTGCTTGTGCCTGGAGCACAAGCGGGGTGTGTGTTTTGGGGTACCCAGCTGGACACATTGATTCACAAATCTTCGATGTTTCGGTACGACTTGTCTATAATCTAGCACCGTAGTAAGAACTAGAAGATGAAAGATGGTACAATAATTCTGATTACCTACCACCTGCTTGACAGTAGTACAGGTGCTTACATAGAAGGGTTGGTTAATGAACTAATGTTGACTGCTAATAAAATTGAATATAAGGACGCACGTTTAGTAATGCTTCCTGCAGATGCAATAAACCCACAAGCCAAATAGCCTTGCATATTCTTGGAGTCTTTTCTTTTCTCATGTCAGTAAGTCTTGCTGAGTACAATTGAGTACTTAGGGTTTTATTTCTCCCTATTGCAGGTTACCGGCGGATGCTAAAGCTGACTCTTGTGTCTGGATCTCTCCTAGTGGGCTCAGAGAGAATTTCTTTTACGCTGCGATCATAGTTTTTATTTCTAACTCTCACTAAATATTTTTATAAATGGAAGTTTATAATATGTTGTCATAGTTTATATATCAATGCTTCATCATGTCTGGAATAGATATTTATTTCCGTTGTAACTCTGATCACATGTTTATGTTCCGCTATTCAATTAAATTATTCATAACTCTGATAACATGATTACATTCCGCTGTTATAACAATAAATATTATACTCTGATGTTGCATGAAAAGTGATGTAAGAAATGGCTAAAATGTTGTAAGCTTTATTCTCTCATTTGTGATTCTGATGGAAAAATATGAATTTTCGGGTTCTCCCCTGGGGTGTGCTCGACGGAACTGCGTAATTTAGTATCATCCCTTGAGTACTTAGTGTCTAATGGAAGACAAGTACTCCTAGGAGGCATTAGATTAGACAGTTCTGCTACAGTGGCAGAGCGTTGTCGCGGCGCTGTGGTGAGGTGAGTTTTTTTTAGAACAGCTACGAGACGAGTAGATAAGAGGCGGTAGTTGGACTGGTGTCGCGGCCAGCAAGAGAGCGTCCCGACGAACGAACGTCCGCTTCCTAAAATTACCGCTATTTTTAACATTACAACGGGTACATGCAAAAGCCACGTCTATATATATACTAGCCAATTTAGTATATATGGGCATTTTTTATGGATCTTGATGTATATTGATATGATTGAATATAAATGAGCAAAGCTCAATTAAAGTTCAACATTTGGCATATATGACACCCATCATATATGTTCCTCATGCCTAATGCACTGATACTGCAAGCGGATGCATGCGCCCATTGCACCGTGCTCTTGCCAAGTAGTCATCAGTCTCTAAATAACTATCGTTTTTGGTTTTCGTGCCATAAATTTGACAGGATTTAAAAGAATACGTGCAACATTTATATCTTCAAATAAATTTATTATGAAAATAGATTCAACAATCTATCTAATGATATTAATTATGTACTATAAATATTAATATTTTATATATATATATTTAGTCAAAGTTGTTTTTTATGAAGCGATAGGGACGGAAGGAGTATATGCGGAGGCATTTATATAGGGGGAAATCCTCGTGTGCCATTAAAAAAGATTCCGATGCTCTGTGAGTCCCTGAAAAAGTTCAGCGATCTTCAGCGCCACTGCTCTAACTTTTTTGTGCCCTCCATGCCACTGCCGTCAGTCTGGGCTCTAACACCGTCAAACTGCAGGTGCAAAAAGTCGAAAATACCATTAAGTCTAAATATGTCATTAATTTTTTTGAGCATCTTAACGACTTCAAATGAAAAAACGCAAAACTAGAAAGTTGTAGATCTCGTCGAGATCTATAATTTTCATATAAAATTATCTTCATTTAATTCCGCAAAATTTTTTTTGATATGATTAATATATCTTAGAAAAATCATATTTTTTTGCGGAATTAAATGAAGATAATTTTTATATAAAAATTATAGATCTTGACGAGATCTACAACTTTTTAGTTTTGAGTTTTTTTTCATTTGAAGTCGTTAAGATGCTCAAAAAAAATAATGACATATTTAGATTTAAAGGTATTTTTGACTTTTCACACCTGCAGTTTAACGGCGTTAGAGTCCAGACTGACGGCAATGGCATGGAGGGCACAAAAAAGTTAGAGCAGTGACGCTGAAAACCGCTGAACTTTTTCAAAGGCTCACAGAACATCACGATCTTTTTTAATGGCACAATTTCCCCATTTATATATGCTTTCCAGAGCACCAAAGGTCGGAACACAAGAAACATCATGCATTTTTTTTCGTAATATGCAGGTGCTTCGGTTCTTTTGTAAGAGCCTTGATTACATTTCGCTCATGATTGCTATTCACTCAAAACTTCAAGACCCTAGTCTGCATTTTATTCCAAAATAAAATGCAGAAGGAACTAACAGGGACTCCTCTCGTTCAGACACGTTCTTTAAAAAAAAGGAACTAATAGGACAATAACATTTTTTTGGTCGCCAAAAAAGACGAGGAAATCTTACTGCACTCCGATCCCGATCTCGGCACCTCTCCACACATTTCCTATACACAGCGACATCGAAAAACGAGCAAAGCTATATTACCCGCAAGCAAAATCATCCCGGCGGAAAACGAGCGCATCGATCAACGCGCTGAACGCGTGCTAGTACCAACAAGCAACGACGATGCGCCGTCACGGATTCACGGCCGACGGCGACGCGCGGCGGCGGCACCTCTGGTGACCATGGGGATATCGATCGGAGACGACGCCGCCAAAGGCCCGCTGCACCCTTCACGTTTACCGCAGAAAACAGCGGCCGCAGCCGACGCGGCGGCCTCCTCTATATGACGGGAACGACACCGCAGCCAGAAAAACTCGTCGTCCTCCGCCTCGTCGTCGGCGTCGGTGTCCGGCCACAGCACGTCCGCCTCCAGGAACTCCTCCGTCGCGTCGAGCTCGAGCCCGGCGGCAGAAACGGTGGAAGCGCCAGAGAGGAAGAAGCCACCGTCGTCAGACCAGTCGGATGACAGGAGGGCGCTCAACGTGGAGCTCGTCGAGCTCGCGCTCCACGAGGCAGCTGGTTCGCTGAACGGTTCGCACGAGAAGGCGACGACGGCGGCGGCATCGTACTGGTACAGCTCGGGAGCCGCCGCCGGCAGGTTGTAGTCGTAGCTCCCCCCCTCCTCCTCCGGCGATGGCGGCGGCGTGTCCGGCCATGGCCACAGGACGTCGGCTTCTTGGAACTCCTCCATCCGCCTCGGCAGCTGGGGAATCTTGCTACGCGAGTAGCCGGAGCATTCTGTCTGTAAGAGAAGAGAACCCGCGTCGGACGGGCTGCTCTGGGCCTCTGGCTGCCCCACCCTGACGTGACGTACGGGGCACTCATGCCATTTCATTTCCGCCCAGTTAGGCCCCGTTTAGATCTAAATTTTTTGAATTTTTAGTTTACTGTAGCATTTTGTTTGTATTTGGTAATTAGTGTCTAATTATAAACTAATTAGATTTAAAAGTTTCGTTTCGCGATTTCTCACCCAACTGTGTAATTAGTTTTTTTTTTCGTCTACATTTAGTACTCCATGCATGTGTCGTAAAATTCGATGTGACAGATACTGCACAGAAAATTTTAGAATCTAAACAGGCCCTTAATATCCGCGCTTGCAAACTGGCAAATCATGTGACGATCGCCCATGGTTGTTAACGTGAGTTTTCGAATTAGGAAGTTCCTCGTCTAAAGTTAAGTTACTATCATATCAGATGTTTAACATATTCATAAAGTATTAAATAGACTAAAAAATAATTAATTACACATATTGCGACTACTTTATGAGACGGATTTTTTAAACCTAATTAGTCTATGAATTGACAATATGATGCTACAGTAAACATATGCTAATAATAGATTAATTAGGCTTAATAAATTCGTCTCGTGAATTACTGAGGACTTGTGTAATTTGATTTATTATTACTATCCAAACACTCTCATGTGACACTCCACGTGACACTCCTAAACTTTACTCCCTGAATTTAAACACCGCCTTATGTGAAGTTTATGCTAATTCAGAAATGTCAGCTAGCGTCACTGAAAAAATTCAGCGATTTTTCGAGGGATTCGTTGAGGTACCACCGGGAATTTGGACCCGGGAGTTCTTTGTTTGCAAGAATCGTTTTTGTATATATACTTATAAATAAATAATACCCGGTTTCAAGGGATGAGCTCGACTGGAGGAGTTGGGTGAGATTATCAAGTGACGGAAGCGAGCACATAAGAAATGCCAAAACCGCATTGCTGAAATGGATATGCAATCATGAAGGCCCGTGGCTTGTCTGAACAAGTAATGCAGGAATGCGGTTGGGATTTGGAGAGGAGCCCCACGGATCAAGCCACCCATTCCAAGCAGGAGCTCTCATGATTGAGATGGCACATTGCTTGCATGAGCTGCATTAGTATATTGGTAGCTTTCTCCGATCCCGTGCAAGTTGATTCCGTCAGGGCCTGCAATCCCTGCCCAGCCTCACGTCGCAACAAACCTCCTTTCAACATCACCTTCTCTAAGCATGCATCCAGACAAGATTTCAGTCTCTAATAACTAGTAATAAGTAGGTAAGAAAAAAAAACATGAGATGTGGCCTCATTGCGCAGGAGTATTTCAGAAGAACTGTAGCAAACCAGTTCAAAAGAGCAATCTCAAAAATTCGTAATGAGAAATCAAAAGCCGGCGAACGATTTAATATCATACCAGAAGCAACGAAACTCTCTAAACTCCTTTATCCTTTTCCCATTTGCTCCCCTCTCCGCAGTTTTATCACGAGCATAAATTTTGTACAGGATTGTACAGCACGCTGACTAGCTACGGGTGTAACTCAGTCGCGCATATGAGGAATGAAATTTTTTTTTCTTCCCAAGGTGCTTCTCTGGTAAAGCCTGGAGGAGGCTTCAATCTATTTACTGCCTATCCAAGAACATGTAATCAGCACAGCTGGATTGGAAGCCAGCTGTTGCTGTTGCCAGCTCCTTGAGGAAGGAGACAACCTCCTCCGACGAACTCAGCAGGTAACGGGCGTTGGACCGCTTCCTTCCGACGGCGCAGGAGAAGTAGTTCTCGCCCTTGAGATCAAGGACCGAGGACCCTTCGCGCCAGTCGTGGTTGCTGCTTGCGCTGCTGTGGCTTGATGACGATGACCTCTCGGATGCAGCCTGCTGCGCCTTCTGTGTCCTGGACTGTGGGTTCCTGGAGTTGCTCCTGCCATTCGATGGTGGCCTTCCGTTCGGCCTCCGGTCAAGTGAAGCTGAGCCACCCTCTGGTTTTATTTTGGATTCAGAAGGGTACTCGGGATCAAAAAAGACATAGATGTCCTCATCCTGAAACACGAGGAAGCAGATGTTACCAAACAAGACCAAAGTCGAAAAGAATAGGCACAGAAATCGTAAATCAAGAATCATCAGTATAGTAGTACATGAACAAACTTAAACAAGAATTCCTACAGCATGTACTTAAAAGATGGACATTATTGTTTTGAACAAACAGATGGATGATATTCAAAGCGTTTAACAATCGGAAGGAAACATGTGGAATCCATACAGAAAGCTCCTCAATTTTGCTCGGGAGAATATCCACAGAGACTCTGTCTAGTCATTCAGACTACTATACTCATTTTGTATTGTTGGATTACAAGATTGACGAGGATGCTTCCATTAGTGGCTCAAAATTTTCATTAACGTAACAGTATCAAACTTAATGTTTTATATGAACATTGATGGTTCTTTGACATAACCTATCCCAAAAATGATTTGTAAATAGGGGTAACAGGGTATTTTACAATTTTACCATAGTTGCGCCAGTAAACGAGAGGAAAGATACAGTTCCCACCTTCCCTTTGACAGTTTGACCTTGATCCATGCATATTTCAATTTTCACATAAAAAAACCATAAATACTGAATTTTCTAATTGAGTCGACATCCGTCTCGTTGGCATTAAAAACAAATGCATTTTGAATGTTCTAAAACCTTTCATTTCTTCATTCGTACGTTTCTTTATCCTATCTACAGAACTAAAAATAAGATCAGAGCAAGAACGTGAAGCGTTGGAAAATTACCTTCCCAAGGAAATGCCCTATACACAGGACACAGTCAATTGGAGTAACCATGTTTTCGCTGTGAACTATCTCCCCTAAAATACGATCAATTGCAGCACCCTATAGAAAGGAGACAAATGATCTGTAAAACCTCAACTAGGCTAACATGGAGAAAACCATCTACCGTCACGAACCATCATACAGCACCACTGACCTTTGTAACTCCAACAGACCGAACTTCAACTGACCGACTCCCTTGAACAACATCAACAGCTGCATTTGAGATCGGGCCTGTCCACAAGTGCTGCAGCATATCTCTTGCTTGTAGCCTTCCAAATTCAACATCTTTGAAATAGAAGGTGGAAATAAAATGTTACTGCACAGACCTTCTTTAAAAAGAATGCTCGGAAGATCAACACTTACCAGCATACTTGTAGTTCCACACAAATGATGTTTCACGATGTTCGAAATGGGATCTTGGGGTTCTTTCTGTAAAGTATTCAAAAACATGCTGGAGAAAAAAAAAAGATATCAGAAGCTTGATATTAATTTGACACAACAGAACATTATTCATGAAACAGACACACCTTTACGCTGTCAACCCAATCCATGTTCAGATGCTCAGGCATTGTTGTCATCCATTCTCCGTAAGTCGGGCGTAAAAACATCCCATGCTCTGCCGCCAACCACATTTTAAATTCTCCAAAATTCTGTACACATGGAAAGATGTGTTGGTTCTAATGGAAAATATAAAGGTCAATCGATCAAACCTAAAATAACAGACAGGTCTGCTTTGAGTATTACTTCATCAAGAACACTCCTGTCACTGCCACTAAGAACAATAACTGTAGTCCGCTCATCCTCACAGAGGGCTCTCAGAGGACCCTTTAAGTCAGGATGCAACTTGAGTTCCATTTCCTTGATTTGGTCACCACCCCTTCTCCCAGAGGATTCAACTGGCTCAGTCAATGTTGAATTGAAACCCTACATCCAGTCATGTATAAATAACACGAATTGCTGAACTTGTTACTGTCAAACAACGGTGAATGTGACTCATAAAGTAGTTGGAAGTGCAAGGGTCCTAAAGCCTTATGGAAATTCGAAACTGAGAATTTTACTGGATTCCTATAGCAATGTAAAAAACACTGGAGACTTATTATGCCACAAATGTGTCATGATGATCTAGTCTACCAGAAAATGTAAGGCAACAACCAGAGTGAAGACAGTAACTGCATATAAGAGCAAAAGATGCGACTGTTCAAAGCGACTCTACAGAGAGTAAAGTTGCTACCAGATACAAGTGAGCCATTTTTTAACTAGAACGCCCAGTCAACATGATGAAAAAAGATCTCCACAACTATCAAGTATACAATAAGAATATAGTATTACCAATATGAGCAGACGATTTTTAGAGCGCAAATATTGCTGGATTGCCGTTTGACTAGGAAGACCAGGAGGAACTTGTCTTGTCCTCAGTAGTGCTTCAGCAACCGTGTCATTTAGCTCACTACATGAAAAAGAAAATGATAATCATCAGAAAACTTGAGTGGCAAACAAATTTATAACCGAAGGGACTTGGTCCATCAAATGACAAACTGGGCTACTGGAAATGAGAAACTCACAATACAAAAGTTTCAGCCCAATCTTGAGCCGTGTGAGTCGTGACATGAGCATAGTTGTGCCTGTGTCGTTTCTCTCTCTCATCGGGTGACATCATTAAAGCATGCCGTATTGAGTCTGCAACTTCTGTAATATTCCAAGGGTTTACTAGAATGGCGCCAGCTCCAAGTGATTGTGCTGCCCCAGCAAACTGAAATTGCAGTAATAGCAAAAATAAATAAATAAAACATCCCCCCAAAAAAAATATATGGCATGCATAATCGGTCAGCTACCTCACTAAGTATCAGAACTCCTTTCTTAGACCCTTGGCATGCAACGTACTCATAGCTCACAAGGTTCATCCCATCTCTCAGTGATGTTACAAGAGCAACATCTGAACAAAAACAGTGAAAATTAACATAGGCATAAAAAAATCCATTAAAACTCTGGTGTAAATCAGGTATACTGAAGTGGAAGAAAACACATCTGCCCAAATGTCAGTATAAATAGAGTTTTAATGATTACCAGTGACTGCATAAAGAGCACACAAGGCATGGAAATCAAGAGATCGGTCCTGCAAGGAACACATCGTTTCAGATTCTTGTAAAGAAGATGCATTGAAGCTCTTTTTATGCAAGGTGTTAAAACATTGATACTTATTTGTAATACTTAGAACAGCAGGTCAGATAATGCCAGTTCTACAAAATTAGAACCTTACAAACG